CTACACATAGAAAGGTCTGGGTTGTAACCCTGCTAACAACATATGAAGCTGTCTTATACTAAGAGCAAGACTAGTTGAGACCAGTGTTCCCTTTAAGCTGAGTTAGTGTGATCTAGCTTACAGTTTTTTAGCCTCCAGCTCACACATTTTTGTTTTAGCTCAGGAAGGATGGCTTCAGAGCAAACTAATTTATGCAGTAGCCAAATCACTTGCTCACAACTTTAATGCCAGTAACTCACAAAGTAGAATTCTTGCTCACAAGACTCCACAGCTTAGAGAGAGCATTGGTTGAGACAGTGAAAATCCATGACCAGATCTCCCATTGCTTCAGCAGTAGCCCCAGGGAGAGGACTGAACTGAATCAGGCCTGCAGTAGTAGAGGAAGTTAACACAAGCTTTCCATGCTGTTTTCCCCATGTAAACTACCAACTCCTGAAGATGCTTTCTCCATTTATGGGAAAGTTTCTCCATTTATGGGAAAGTTGTAGAACAATCTTGACAGAAAAGGCTCATAATGTCTCACATAGTATGACCCAGAGATAGACAATTAGTCTATCCTGCTGTGTTGCCTACTCTAACTGACAGCAGCTCTTTGAGGTCACAAACATCTCTTCTGCCCAAGGTCTGTTGAATTCTGGGGATTGAATCTGGGACTTTGTGCATGCAAAGGATGTGTTCCATTCTCTAAGAATCAACACATCTCTGTAGTAACTGGACAGTGATATGGGGGGAATGGGATATATGTTAATGTTGGCACTGAATGGTGTGCAGAATAGAGCAGTGAAACAAATATCCAAATCAAAAAGTCCATTTTGTAAAAAAAATTATAATTACTTAAGGTAGTGGTTTCTAACATGGTATTCTCCAATGTGTTTCTTGGCACCCACTTGCTTCTTTCCCAAAGCAAAGAGCTTCAGTAGAGCCCAGAAGGTATTACTTTTCTGTCTGCAAGGAGTACACACTTGGAAACAGCTGCATCCAATGTGAAACCTCCTTACATTTTCTGACAGGACCCAGACCCCATAGTGGCCATTTTGTTATGGAGTCCACAACCTGTGTTCAAAAATCCAAAAATGTCTACAGGTTTAATAAAATTGGGGACTCCTGATCTAAGGTATTGCCAACAACCATGACCCTTGGGAACCATACCTTCTGCAGTAACGTTTTTCGATGTGAGTCCAGTGCACTTAAGCAATTTTCATAGTCAGCTTTGCTGGAGGATAAGCAAATCATAAGGTTCCAGGGGTTTAATTCACCTATTAAAAAAAAGAAATGAAAGAGAAGCACAGTGAGAAAGAGAACGTTCTAGTCTGATAAAAACTTGGACTGAGCCATTCCAGAAAGCAACCTGTGTAAGTAACAATGAGGACTACAGTTACTCTTTCATTCACTGGAGAAATAATGGGAAATTATTCTGATGCCTAAAGTGGTGGCATATTTTGGGTGTTCTACACGTAGATGCCATATAATGAACTTGTACTAACTGCAACAACATGCAGAGCAAAACTGGTAGAAACTGGTTTGTTTAGGCAGTTCTGCTTCTTTATCTAGTTGTATATGGTTCTCTTCAGAAAGAAAAAAAATATTAAAGGTATTTATTTACTAAATATCTTCTCCAGAGATCTTAGTTGGCTAACCAAGGGCCAACATGACAGAAAGAATAGTGATACACTCACAGAAACAAAAACTACCAAGATTAACACAGAGACAGCCAGCAAATGATAGGTTAATTTCTTTTACTATGTAGTCCTCATAATAAAGTTGTTCTTGGGACAGGAGAGGCAATTTCTCACTCGGCCTTTAGGGAGCTATCTTAACATTTCACTTTTTTTTTTACTAGCATAGCGAGAACTTTCCTTGATTCTTAACCCAACTATTATTGTGACTAGTCCTTTCTCAGAGACTCAGAGCAACAATTAGTATTTATTTTCAATGGGAACCATGACATGGCAGGATGAAACCACACAAAGGTCCAAATGACTGCAGGCCAAGTAGCATCACAGGTTAGAAAAAGTACTGTTCTGATGGGCCCTTGGATCCACAGAGAGGTGGCTGGTTCAGCCCCATCTTTTTCTTGGTAAAGGCTAGAGCTGCAGCTAGATTGGGCTAATGGAGTAGTTGTGGCTCAGCACTGCACAGCAGCTGTTGCTAGGATCTTTACCTCTCACCCACCCCCATAATAATAGTCCATAGGATCTGTTTCTTATTGTTCTTTTCAATAGTCCGTAGGATCTGTTTCTTATTGTTCTTTTCAATTCTTGACAGCCTGCTGTACAAATTAAGCAGTATATTTATAAATAGCATCTCAGAGTCTAAGCAGACATGCCAAGTCCCTCTGGTTCCATGTCTTTCAGACAAACAGAAAACGTTTGAAAAAAGGAAAACTCTCAGCAGCCTTCAACCAGTTTCTGTGATTCTCTGTTCCTCACTAATAACTTGCCTGATCAACGGGGATGGATTTCTGCTAGCACTCTATTGCTAGTCTTCTTACTTGGATTTTTTAATTTTTAAAAACATATAGTGCATGAGGGGAAAGGCGAGGTGGGGAATGGGCAGCTATACTCATGTGTGTTTGAAACACTAAAGAAAAGGTTTGGTAATAAAGGGGAAAACCTCTCCAGCTCTGTGGGTTCTCTTTTCCTTACTATTGCTTGATCAAGTGGAGAGAAAGTGTTAAAACCAGGCATATTTAGGTGGGCCACAACATCCCTCTCCAAGACATGCAACCTCAGAACACAAGAGTATGAAAAAGCTATGCCAACTGGTCCCCCCTTAGAAATCTATCACTAGTCCTGTGGTTTTTTGGTGTGTTTTTTTTAATACCAATTGCTAGTGCTATCATAAGAAATATTAAAAAGGGGGGGTAGCAAGAGGTGGAGGGGTGAAGTGATGGGAAGGTTGTAGAGGAGGGACATGGATACAGTGGGAGTGGGTGACAATGGGGGTGGGTGTTCTGGGTATCAAGAGGTGGTGAAAAAACCCCAAATGGAGTACTATGCACATGGAGAAAAGCTGACTCCAAAGCAGCTTGAAAAAAATATTGATGTAACGTGTCCTCCAAAAAAAACAGAGAAAAAGCAATGAAAAATCAAAGCAACCCTCAGTCAGATGAAAATATATGCAGAAAAGAAAATACAACAACAATGATGCAGTTGGAAATCTGAACTGATGTAAACCACTTGTGTGGAAACACCCTTAATTATCAGTCCAATTTAGAATGGGGACACATGGGGAGGGGCTTAAACCTTGCCACTGATTTGAAGTGGCCCCCAAGGAGTCGCTATTTGTCTCACTGGGGAAATTTTTGTATAGCACTGTCAATACACATAAGTTCCTGCAACTGGGAAATTGGCCCCCCCAGGGTCGCCTCAGATTTGGAGAAATATGGGAGGGGGGAGTTTTAAAACCCATGTTGAGCTCCAGTTCTGATCTGAACTGGGCCCTGAGCAGGCCAAATAACTAAGCTTGGAAAATAGCTATGGAAACCAGCATGTCTGGTTAGACTCTTATTCTTATGTGGATGGACACTTTTGCCTAGATACCAGATGAAAATAAGATTACATTATTCTGACACATTTTGCTCTCCAGACTGACCATTTGGAATGTCTGCAATGGCCATTAAATAAGGTTGGACAAAGAATTAGTTGGCACAGAATGACAAACTTTTCATCTGAAGTGAGAGTTAGTATTTTGCTATAATGGAGATAGCAAGGGAAAGAACCAGCAGGATAGACTGGCCTGAAAACAACCCTGGGTACTGCCTTAACATTTGAAGTCTGAGAAAGAGTTTCTTTGAAGAAGTTGTTGCATAAAATATGCTTGATTGAATTTTTTTAATTTATTTAAAAATATGAAATCAATGAACAGATTTCATGAAATATGCTTTTGACGCCCCAGTAGTTACAGATAGTGAGGCATAGGGGAGAGTGGGTCAGGCCAGAGTTCAAATATTTGGTGAGCTGAGAACCCTCTTTCTCAGGGTTGTTTATTTATTTATTTTCTCCTCAATGGGGACCCAAAGTAACATACAACATTGTTTTCTCTTCCTCCATTTTGTCCTCACAGCAACAAACCTATGAGGTGACTTAGGCTGACAGAGTGACTAGCCCAACACCATACAGCAAACTGCCATGGCAAGGTGGGGATTTAAACCTGGGTCCTCCCAGACCCAGTTTCACACTCTATAGCACTATGTCAAAGTGATGCTGTGAGGATAGACTGGGAGTGGGGGAGACCATCGGTGCCATCCTAAGCAGAATTACACCCTTCTAAATCCATTGACTTAAATGAACTGAGAAGGTGGTAACTCTGCTTAGGATGGCACTGGAAGTATACCCTGAGCCTCTTGGAGGAAGGGTGGTAAAAACATGTTAAATATACCAGTCATTGAGCAACTGTTCAGCCAGCCCTGCAGCACTGTCTTTAAAAGCAATGTGACATGCATATTAGATGGTGATAATATTTGCCTGCCTTGACCTGGATAGCTCAATCTCATCAGATCTCAGAAGCTAAGCCCTGGTTAGTACTTGGATGAGAGACCAACAAGAAAGGCCCATGTTGCTACACAAAGGCAGGCAATGGCAAATTGCCTTGAAAACCCTACAGGTTTTCACCACCAGTGTTTATAGGGTTGCCAAGTCTGAATTTCGCCGCATCCACGTCACTCTGAAGTGACGTGACCACGCCGGGCACACTGGGGGTGGGGCCATGCCCATCCGAGGGAAAACCATAGAGTTTTCCCTCGGATGACCATGGCCCTGCTCCCAGCGGGCCCGGCGTGGTCGCATCACTTCTGGGTGACATGCACGTCAGGGTGGGGTTCCCCCCGGGGCCCGATCCGCCGCCGGCGGGGAACGGGTCCCTGGGGCGGGGGTTTCCCCACCCCCCGGGTGGACTTGGCAAGCCTAAGTGTTTACCTTCATCCTATGAAAACCTTCATTTAATTCCACACAAGAGCAGACCAGACTTTTGTTTTTTCAGGTCACTCAGCAACCCAACCAGGATGGATGGCTGGAAACAAAATTCTGGGAATCAAACCAAGTTCAATTTGATGATTGCTATGATGAAGAAACTGTGCAGGGCTGTTTCTATTTATGACAACAATCTTCTAAGGAGATGAAGAAGAAGCTCTTTTTGATGATTATTTATTAGCAGCTCTGTGCCAGCTGTTAGCGCAGCTCCATGCAAACCATTTCCACAGCTTCTGGCCGAGTAAGCCGTATGACTTCTGAAGACCAATTCTTAAGAATGAAATATTTTTTTATAACCCTGATAGTAGATAAAATAGCTGATTAGTGCCATCTGTTTCTTCACTGAAGTTTAAGATTCTCTGTGTAATTAATATTCTGAAAACCTAGGGTGCGAAGGGAAAATAGACTTGATGAGAAGTTTCCAACCTAATTCACAATTTAATTTAGGCCATTATGTTCCCATTGAAATTACTGGGAGTTAACTGATTTAAAAGGAGAAGGCTGGAACCTTTGGTTCTGTTCTGCCAATAATGGAGCCGTCCTCTGATGCAAGTGGCTTTGCGTCGTAAGCAGAAGAGGCTATTCAACCCAGATACGTTGGATTTATTTGGTTTCTGAATCAGGTTGTCAGATGACAAGGAAAGTTAAGCTGAAAATACTCTGATGATTCCACACTAAGGGAATAAGAAGAAATTTTCAAAAATAAATAAATGGCAAACTTCACTTTTAAGATGCCATTAATAACTTCCATAATGAGGGGAAAATACATGGCAACCCTTCTTTAAAGGCAAACATACCATACCAAGTCAGAGCAAACAGATCACAGAAATCCAAGCACTTCACAATGTTTTTCTAGTATCTTGAGCCTTGGTACTTTGGATGAACCCACAGGGGTATGTAGAATGTGTTCATCGTATTGGCATTCCATGCTGAATGCATGTGTGACAGACTACTTTTTTAAAGCTTAGAAGTGCTGCACAGAGTAAAGGACTATGAAGGGTTACTTCTTCACAGAAACAGAGAGCCTTGAGTGACAGGCTGCTTCAAGCAATCTGATTGGTTAGCATCAGCTGAGCAGAAAAGTCTTGAGAGAGCTGCATGCTGAGGAGAGAGTCAGTCAGATTTCTGCCCTGACTAAGTTGAGTACTGACGATCTGATTTCAGCCTTAGCTGAAAGCACTTTAACACAGACAGGAGAACTGGGAGAAAGTTGGCAAGGAAGTTTGGAAAGTAGGCGAAGACTCACATTTGGGCCAAGGAAAGGGGATAGATCTTCTAGAGACAGA